AATACTAACATGTAATTTTATATTTGTATGTGCTTGTATGGATGCTTGTGTAGATCGTGAACAAACTCCAGTTATAAGAAAACCAAAGGCATGGGAAAAGTTCAAGAGTAATTGGATATTAACAGTAAGGCATAATAGTGAGGCATACCAGGTGAGTGCATTTATTATGTACTTATATGATATGAGGACAACTTACGATGAGTCAACCTCAAGTGTTTTTATTAAATATGTTTTTTATTGTATTTTGATATATAAATATTTTCATAAAATTTATGAAAATTATTTTAGGGTATGAATTGCCCTAGATAGAATGGATATGTTTCACACAATTTATCATTTATACACGGTTTGAAATAAATGTTTAACATACGATTTGGATTTTAAAGCTGATTGTATGTACATGAGAGTCATAGGTGCAATTTTAATAGCATAAATAAGGTAGTATTGTAGTAGTACTTTGTGTACTGTAGCACTATGTATGTAATTGGCATACTTATTTTATGATGGTTATCAATCGATTTTGTTTAATGCATATTTTTGTATATTCATGTTAGTACCTTGCGTACTTTCTGCACTTTGTGTGCAAGGATGGTATTCGTATGGGATTATTAGTCCGAAATTGGTTAGTATAGTGTTGTTGTATACAACAATACCTATATGTTATTGTTTCATTTAGGTTCTTATTGGGTATCTTGCATTCTCATTTGTCATACATTGGACTGTGAATGGAGTTTTGAATACATCGATTGACAGTATGTTATGCATGTGGAAATAATATTTCGCAAGTTATTTGACGGAAACATGGCTTACCAAGTCAGTTTTAAGTGTTTATATATTATACGATTTCAAATCATATTTGATCTTTATAGATATACCAATGTTTTAAAATGCCTTACTTTATTATGCCTCGCTATGTGAATGCTTAGCGTGTGATTGTTTCACGCGTAGGTAATATCGTAAGATCAAATTAAAGAGTGTAGCTGATATTAACTATGAAGGATTGCCTTATCAGTAACAGTATGACATCTTTAGATGTTTATTTTGATATTACTAGTTAGCATGTATTAGTTATATTATGATGCTCTAGTATGGTGTTTTATAAATAGTTTGTAGCATTATATTATATTTAAACTTAAACTACTATGTGATGGACTTAAATACTATTTTACATATTAGTAGTTACTGGATGTTTTTATTTTTATAAAATTAAACTATTTTATTTTAAAGAAACAAAATTTTAATAATTTTAAAGTACTGAAATGTTTTAAAAGTTATGTGTCATATACAACTCGTGTATCGGGTCGTATACGGTAAATGGGTGTAACATTTATCGGTATCAGAGGTACATGTTTAGCTGATTCTCGACCATAAATGAGTGTATTTTATGTAGAAAATGTGTACATGCCACTAGGATGTAAATGTTACTGATATGGTATGATATAATTGATGTCACTCCTTACTAACATAAGTTGTTAAAACTATTTGCCATATTTGACGTCGGGATCCAATAATTCTCGTAGAGAAATACATCAGAAAGTTTGAAAAGATACTGACAGTGGGAGCAATGAAATCAACAGTGACTGTCCTGCCCAGTCTTGACATGATAGTGTATTGTCACATCAGGGACTGCCAGTGCAAGATTAGAGATCCTTTTATATGCATTAGATGCAATTTTAGCTCGATATCAGACTCCTCCACCTTCCCTTGTTCTTCTAGTGCCTCAGATGTCAATGCTGAAATAGTTGAAAAGCCTGGGAGTACCCGAATTTAGGGGAGAAGAAGATGAAGTTCTCATAGACTCGGAGTTATGGTTAACTAACATCAAAGTGGTATTGGAAAATCTTCACTACTTAGACTCATAAAAACTGGATGAAGTTTTATCTTTACTCTGAGGATCAACACGAGTGTGGTGGATGAACACCATGATGTATGCACTGCCTGAGCAAATGACATGGCAATTCTTCCTGGATGAGTTCATGAACAAATACATTGAAGAGAAATTCATGCGGGCAATGTTGTTAAAATTTATCAACTTGAACTAGAGTGATTGAGCCATACATGAGTATGAGGTTGAGTATAACAAGTTATGATTATTTTCTACTAAAGCGGTTCTTAATGACAAGGCTCTACGTGATTGGTTCATCGAGGTGTTGAGGCCTAAGATGAAAGAGATAATGCTAGCATTAAACTTGCCTACCTTGCAAGAAGTGATAAATCGAGCAAAGGCAATTGAAAGATATCAAGAGGAGACTCTAGCTGCAGAACAGATCTTGCAGATAGAGAAAAGATATGGAGCATCCTCAGCTTCCTATTATACCAAGAGAGGAAAGGGTTCAAGTTCACGATACAGTGATAGATCTGGTTTTGGTACAACTTCACGCAAGGGTAAACAATCTTAGTCTTTTACTACTAGCTCGACCAAGGCACTCCGAGATCAATCTTCGCCATGTCAGACATGTGGCAAATTACATGGTGGAGTATGTAGATTTTTCGGTGGTGCCTTTTACAACTGTGGTTGTAACACCCATCCCCGTATACCCTTCCGTAAATGAGAAATACATGTCACGTTACTTTTAAAATAGTTAGTCTTTTGAAAATCCCGGAAAAAAAATTTCTTTCGTTTTGAAAACATAACCTTTTAATATAAGACAAAACATTGATTACAACTGTTATAAGTTCTACTTAATTAAAATTAAAAACATTTAAATATTGTGATTCCATGCCAACAGAGTTTTTCCAGAATAAAAATAGATTGTCTTGGTGTCACGGATAAGTCCACCTTAGATTATTGATCACCATAACTACAAAAACACTCCTTACTCAGTTAAACTTTGATTTTACGTACGCGTGAAAAACAACACACATTAAGCAATTACTTAATGAGATATAACATAGTAAAGAACATTAAAGGATACATAAGTATCACATAGTTATATAACTTCAAACTAAGTTATAACATACATAGAAATTAGTGAAGTCCTTCGTATCTTAGCCAAATCTAGGTCATTTTAACCTCATAACAAATTTTAGTATGTCCAATATACTTCTCTTTAATTCATTAACTTCAATTTTCATCTCTTTTCACGTATAAACACATCAATTTATACATTTAAAATATGGCATCCATTCATGCCCTAATGCATCCTTTCATGCATTTTAATTATAGCATCCTTTCATGCCTTAATGCATCATTTCATGCATTTTAATTATGGCATCCTTTCATGCCTTAATGCATCCTTTCATGCATTTTAAGTATAGTCCTTTCATGCCTTAATGCATCATTTAATGCATTTTTAATTATGGAATCCTTCATGCCTTAAATAGCATCCTTTCATGCCTTAATGCATCATTTCATGCATTTTAATTATGGCATCCTTTCATGCCTTAATGCATCCTTTCATGCATTTTAAGTATAGTATCCTTTCATGCCTTAATGCATCATTTAATGCATTTTTAATTATGGAATCCTTTCATGCCTTAATGCATTCTTTCATGCATTTTAATTATGGCATCCTTTCATGCATTTTAATTATGGTATCTTTCATGCATTAATACATCCTTTCATGCATTTTACATACTCTATAACTCATTTATAATATTCTTTCCATACACATAAAGATATCATAATCACCACTTTAAACATATATAAATTTAAAGCATACTAAATTGAATCCTCATCATATAGCATACTTATATTAGAGTACTCACCTGATAGTCCTTGCTAACAAAGTGTAGAGACTTCTAACTAATCAACAACTTTCTCTTTATCCCTTTTCTTGCTAGATTCAGGAGCTTGGTTCGATCTACACAATTATCCATTAAGTACACATAACATACCAATGTTAGTATACTGTTTACTTGTACTTTAAAAATATTCAAAATATCATTATCTTAATTTCTATAACAATTTCAACCTAATTGGTCGTTCCAAGCTTAATAGTGTCAATACTACAACCCTGGTACCAATACTTCTATACTATGCTACCAATACCCCTTTCCGGTATCGATACCAATTTTAACTTCGATGTTTCCTGGTATCGATACCCTTACCATGGTACTGATACTACCCTACTATGGTACTAATACCCCCTTACGACATTGATATCGATTTTAGATTCGATGTTGCCTGGTATCGATACTGATTGAATTAGTATCGAAACTACACAGTTAATTCATCCCATTTTAGCCTATAGTATCGATATTGTTCTATCAGTATCGATACCCTTACCCAGTTTTTCTAGTTTTTTCAACCTGATTATTACATAAATTGGGTCAAATTTACTAGTATTTACCCCTACAATACTATCAAACTATTCTTTAACTATTCAAACTAACATTCCTTCATTTTAATTCTTAAAACATCTAGTACCCCTTAAGATCATTGGATTCTAAGAATCACACCAAATTTTCTAACTTGTTTTTAAACTCAACCAATACTTCTAATCTCTTATTTACTACTTTGAAAAGTCAAAACTACTAATAATCATTAATAAACACCAATATACTAGTATATCATTTCAAAACCTATTTTCAAAAATCTCCATTATTTCCACCATTTCTTAGTTTTAATATCATTTAATCCTTCCTTAAGCTTCTATCACACCCCAATCTTCAATAACCAACCTAAAATAAAAGGATAAACCATCAAATTGAAATCTCACCTTTAGCTAGGGTTGAGAGCTTCATACATGAAAAAAGAATAAGAAAAGAGTGTTGACTTTTCCCCTTTCTCCTAATTTCTCTACTTAATATATCTATAAAATGAATTTTAAATTCATTTTATTCTAAATACCCATAAATGCCCTATTTAATCCTTCATCACTACAATTTAGTCTGAACTACTATTCCCAACTCATTTCTCATCTTTATCAATTAATCAATTTAGTCCTCTAAATTTTTAATTCCTTTTAATTTAATCACTGACATATTATTTGGGGGTATTACAGTGGTGATAGTGTCCATTATGTTCAAAATTATCCTAAGAGATATATGGACAAACAATGCAAACTGAGAGATTAGTAGCAGTTTCCCAAACAGGCAGAGGAAGAGGTATAACTGGTGCACAATCTGAGTCAATTCAGAGAGTAGAGACACGCGGAGTAGCCAAAATATATAAAATTAAGACTGATGAGGATCAGGATGACCCAAAGATTTTAACAAGTACATTTTATCTTTTTGATGATCCTGTATTTGTTTTGGTTGATCTTGGTTCTATGCACTCTTATATTAGATCAAAGTTTATTAGAGGTAGATGAATTCAATTAGAACCAATCTCTAGTGAGATGATAGCAATAAACCATTTGGATCATAGTGCAAGGGTTACTCATGTATGTAGAAATTGTCCGATAAATATTCAAGGGTTTGTATTCCCTGCAAATTTGATGGAATTTCCTTTCAAAGATTTTAAGGTCATATATGACATGGATTGATTGTCTCCACATCATGGATGGGTAGATTGTCACATAAAGTGATTATTTTTTAAGGACGCAGAGGGTTCAGAAATTATAGTGATTTGTGAAAAAGCGAAATCAACACCTAATGTGATATCAGTAGTGACCACGAAGGAAATGATGTCAAAATATTGTATAACTTTTCTAGCTAATGTCATAGATACATAAATATATGAAGTGAGGTTGGATTATATTCCAACAGTTCGAGAAGTTCAAGTTATTTTTCTAGAAGAATTACATGGTTTTCCTTCAGATCGAGAGGTGGGATTTAAGATTAATGTTTATATGGGTACTAAGCCTAATTTTATGGCTCCATATTAAATGCCTCATACCGAGTTAAGAGAACTAAAAGCCTAGTTACAAGAATTACTTTGATAGAGATTTCATTAGACCAAGTGTTTCACCTTGGAAAGCACCTATGCTTTTTGTGAATAAGAAAGATGGATTTATGAGGTTATACATAGATTATTGACAACTGAAAAAAATAACGATCATGAACAAGTATCCTCTTCCGAGGATTAATTATTTGTTTGATCAATTGAAAGGTGAGGCAGTGTTCTCTAAGATTGATCTTCGGTATGTGTACCATCAATTGAAGTTTAAAGAGGAAGATATTCCTAAGACAACTTATTGGACTCGGTATGAACACTATGAGTATGTGGTGATGCCATTCCATTTAACTAATGCTCCTACAGCATTTATGGATTTGATAAATTGCATATTTCAACTATATTTGGATCATTTTTAGTGGTTTTTATTAATGATAATTTGGTGTACTCAAAGACGAAAGAGGAGCATGATGCTCATATTTGTATTATTCTTAAGACACTTCAAGATAAAAAGTTATACACCAAGCTGTCAAAGTATGAATTCTGGTTGACAAAGGTTGGTTTCCTTGGCCTTGTTGTCTCAACAAAAGGCATAAGAGTAGACCCCAAGAAACTTCAAGCCATAGTGGAATGGAAACCCTCCAAAGAACATCTAAGAAGTTCAGAAGTTCTTGGATCTTGTCGATTACAGTCGAAGGTTTGTGAATAACCTTTCGATGATAGTGTCACCGCTAACCAAGCTTTTAAGGAAAGATATGCCTTTTGTTTTGACAGAGAAGTGCGAAGATATATTTGAAATGCTAAAAAAGATCTTGATAGAGGCACCCGTACTAGTACAACCATAATTTTGTAAAGATTATGTGGCTTTTAGTGATGCATCTCATAATGGTTAGGGATGTGTACTTATGCAAGATGGTAAGGTTGTGGCCTATATTTCAAGACAATTAAATATTGATTAGAGAAACTATCCTTCGCATGACCTTGAGTTGGCAGCAGTCGTGTTCGCTCTTAAAATTTGGCGTCATTATGTTTATGGAGAGCGTTGCTATATTTGCACAAATCACAAAAGTCTAAAACACTTGTTGACATAAGAAGAGTTGAACTTGAGACAAAGAAGGTGGATAGAGCTTTTAAAGGACTATGATGTGATCATCGACTATCATCCAGGAAAGGTTAGTGTGGTAGCTGATACACTTAGCCGAAAGACTTTTGCAGCCTTGTGAGCTTTAGATATGTGTTTATCCATAAAGAAAGATAGTGCCTTGATTGTATAACTAAAGTTAAAGCCGACATTATTTGATCGAATAAAAGAACTAAAAGAGAAAGATAAAAAGTGTACAACAATATTTAGACAAGCAAAAAAAAGGTGAAATTAATGATTTTGAGGTTAGGTCTGATGGATGTTTGTACTATCGAGGGAGACTTTGCAACCCCGACGGTGAAGAATTAAAGAAAGACATTCTTTTTAGGCACACTATAATCCTTGAAATATGCATCTAGATGGAAATAGGATGTATCAAGACTTAAAGAGTCGGTATTATGGCTTGGTATGAAAAGATCTATCACGAAAATTTTTGCAAAGTGTCTGACTTATCAACAGGTGAAAGCTAAGCATCAAGTGCCTTCTGGATTGTTGCAATCGATATCGATTCCTGAATGTAGATGGAAATGAGTCACCAAGGATTTTGTTACATGGCTACCATTGACACCCACCAAGAAAGATTCAATATGGGTGATTATTTATAGATTAACCAAGACTGCTCACTTCATTCCAGTTCAGACAGATTACTCGATGGATAAAATTATTGAATTGTACATAAAAGAGATAATTCGACTTCATGGAGGGCTTGTATCTATAGTATATGATAGAGATCCAAGGTTTACTTTGAAATTTTGGAATTCTTTGCATGGGCCCTTGGGTACTCGACTGAATTTCAGCATGACTTTTCAATCGTAGACTGATAGTCAATCAAAGAAGACTCTTTAGAATTTGGAGGATATGTTAATGGCATGTGTGATTGAGTTCAAAGGATCATGGGAAAAATAATTGCCTTTAAAAAAATTCACCTACAATAATAGCTATCAATTATGCATCAAAATGGCTCCGTATGAAGCCTTGTATGGGAGAAAGTATCTGATATGATCTCGATTTTGAGTTCTGAGTCATATATGAGTATGCCCGATCATGATTCTAGTAAGAACTTCATAGTGCTTTGATTGAAGACTAAAATGAACAAACGACGTTACAAGAAGGGAAATATGTATATATAAATATATATATATGGAAGTAATGGAAATGATATACTGAAGTTGAAGTGGATTGTAAATGAAAGAAGTGTCGTGGTGATAATGGTTTAATGGATGTAACAAAAGTGGTGAAGGATGTTTGTGGTTGCCGTAGAGAATGATAGTAATTCAAAGGATGGATTGTGACCCTCTAACTATATATGAGTTTGGAACCAACAATATAATAAGGTGGAAAGGTAGAAGTGGTAGGATATGGAACATGACCCACTAGCTATAGATGAGTTAGGAACCAACACTATAACAAAAGGGAATGCATGAAGACTACAAGACTATCTAGAAGCTGATAAAGTTCTACAATAGAACAAGAATGAAAGTAACCTCTCAAAGATGTTTTATAAATTCAAATGTGTGTTTAAAAATTATCCAAATGTTTCTATTTATAGTATTTCTAAGCAGTATATGAAAAGACTCAAAAGATGAAAACATTCTCATCAATTTAGTAATAAAATACACTTGAATGCTTTGTCTTCTTATATTCAAGGTTGGATGAATATTATAGATCATTTTGGGGATGAATATAGACAATTTGAAGCTAAATTTGACCTTAATTTCGTCCAAGGGGTGTAAGACTCTTGGTATTACATGCTGAAAATTGTCTTAATAACTGAATTAAATCACCCTTCATTGCATGCTCCTTTGAAGAATATGAATAGCCCTTGAATTTATATGATAAAAATAAGCTTTGAATGCCTTGAATGGGTGAATTAAGATTCCTTCAATGGCTTGTAACTTGGTTGAAGTTGAAAAGGGTCTCCCTTGGCTCAAACTCATCCAAATCATCAATGCATAAAATTCCCGTAACAAAATTCTAGCTTGCACTGTCTTAATAAATCGATCATATATCTCAAGCTCCCAACCTCGGATTGAGGTGATTCAAAAGGCGTTAGAAAGATAAGAGATAGAAATAATTTCCAATTTATTTGTAGAACCAAACACATATGTATCACATCAAGAATTGGAATACATTCTGAATGATATTCTTGCATTTTATGAAACTGTTGAACTTCCCTCATGCACCTAGACAAAAAGGTGAACTTTATTCAATCTTTAATTGAAAACATGCACGAAACAATTAAGAGTTAGTTTAATAAATGAACTAGTTTGATGGATGAACAAGTTTAATTAATGAACTAACTTTATTCAATGAAATAAATGAATGAATGAAATAGTTTATTAAATAACTAGATGCATAAATGAACTACTTCCCTAAATAAAATACATGCTTAAATGTAATGCATGCTTAATGAACAACATAATTATTAATTGCAATGAATTTCATGTAACTAATAAAACTCATGCAAATTCATGCAATGAATGATATCACATGGTAAGCATATCCTACGAGGTAAATACAAACATATGATTTAATCATATCAAGAAGAAAGTCGGGGCTGATTGGGTTACATTATTCCCTCCCTCTTTAATGTGATTTGTCCCCAAATTGACGCTTTCTACAAAAGAGAACAACTTTGATTTGCATTACACAGGTACCTCCTTCATTTTCATATTGCAACATAACCATTATCCAGGGCCAAGATCTTCTCACTTATGAACTTTACTTCCATGATGCTTGATTCGAAGTTGATTCCCTTGCAACATTTAAGGATGTTATCCTGACAATGTTAAAAACCATTCACAAACACAACCCCTTGTGGAACGCCATCTCTCATTTTCTTCGTATCTTTTTGAATATTGTCCTTTGAATGAATGTAAAGACCTCGTTCCGTGTCTTTGATTTGAACAACCACTGGTGGGTTATGCATGATCTTTCGTTCATATTCTTTCCAAAATGTCTTCCAACAATGTGCTAAAGTCAAGGCAGTGCTTTATGACTTAACAAACTTCATGACTTCAAGTGTTCGAACATTGTCTTTGTTTCCTCTTATCTTTCAGTGTAGTTTTTTCTCAAATTGATGTCTCATTTTCATATCTACAATCACAACTAGACTAGTAAAAGAATATGGATGCAAAGAATTAGAGAAAACAAACTTGTCAAATTTTATGGATGGTGGTTGATGCTTGATATTCTTCTTACACAAATCCATTGGTTTATCATGTCTTTCAGTTAAAGGAGTCATCCTTTGCTAGAAATGCCCTGACAATTGATGAAAGGACTTGTCATTTCACTTTTCTCTATTGGACCAATACAATGCATAAGAAAGACACCTCTATTTTCCCTTCTTGAATTGTCATGTTGGTTGGTGAAGAATGGTGTCTTTTGAACTCTTCCAATTAGGTAGATATCACCAACTATCTTATTCCTTGTTTCCTTCCAAATGATGGATCTTGAGTAGGTGGATAGCCTTTGCTTCAAATCATCTGTTTGCAAAATGGAGAGTGGCAATTTCATCTTAAGATTAGAAAGAAACTTATCCTCACAAATTAATACATCAATTCCTTGTTTTAGAAACATCCATCTGAAAAGTAAATCAATGTTATAAGTAAATAATTCAATAACAAAATAAATGGAAAAATCAAACCATGGAGGATGCTTGATGATCTTTTTGGGCACTGGTTCCTTATTGATAGAAAACTTCATTGGATCCTCTTTTGAAACATGATTAAAGAATGGACGATGTTCGATCATATTTAGGATTGGAAATGTGTTTGAAATGTCTCTTGAAGTGCTCTTCTCTTCATCTCGCAACAATGAAAATTCAAGAATAAAAGAATAATGGTCAAGGTTGTTAGTGCAAAATGAATTTTGACTCTCTCTCTTTTGCATAAAAATTTTCTTTTTCAAACTCATCATTTTCACTCTCATCTTCATTTTGAATTTATTTTTTCAATATCATTATTTTTCTTCGAAAATCTCCTATTTCCCTATTTTTCACAAAATTATTTTTCTACGCTTTTAATATATTTTTCAACTTTTATTTCTCTTTCTTCTTTTTTTGCAAATATTTCCTTTTTTTAGTTGTTATTGAAATTCTGCTTCTTTGACAAAATTGTCAAAACACTCTTGAAGGCGAGCTAGATTGAAAGATGCAAATTTGCTTTGCTCACTCCGCATTGAACTTTTGACATTGCTTTTTATTCGAATATTGGGATCCTCCTTGTAAGATCTTTTGCTCTAATTAGATGTAGAATTAAAAGGGGTTGAGTGTCGCCTCCCCTCTTTACTTGCTTTTTGATATTCGGAGGATGCATTTGTGAACAAGAAGGTCGTTCGATCATTCCCTCCAATTTCTTTGAGATTGGGTCGAGATGCTTTTGAAATAAACTCCTTATCACTCGTTTCATGGCATTTATTTGCAAGTTTGGTGCACCACCATCATTTCGGTCGTCACCTCTTGAAATATGAGAATTGTCTCTAGAAGTACGAAACATGATTAATAATAAAAAATGAAAAATAGACCTAAGCAATACACTCCAAAGAAACAATTAATGTCACTCCACTTG